GCTATCTCAAGTTGAGCAATAAGAGAATAGCTTTTATATTTTGCTGCTTGTTTACATGAGGGTTGCACAGAAATATGCCACTAGATAAAAATCCTTCCAGTTTGCCAGGTTACACAGAAATATTCCCTTGTTTTGAGCTATAGCAATGGGAAATCTATATTTTGAAGTGAGGGTTTCCACTGAATTCATGTATGTCATTTCGAGGGTTAACTACCCTGCTTGCCAAAATTTGCTGCTTATTAGACATTGCCTGGAGCTGTGTTTTATTACTGTTTCATTAAGTGATGCCCATAAATTCCATTTCCACTCATTTATGTATGTTTTCCTGTAACTTTAGAAACAAGCTGAGGCTGTTGCTTTTAAAGAAACAAAGTAGTGCAAAAACAAAAGGAAGCCTTGGACACAGAATGTTGTGTAGTAATCGCCTCCCAGCTGGCATAAGCTTGTTGTAGGCTCTCACTGGCCATAGTCAAGGTTACAGCAAATAACAAGCTATCAGTAATAAATTGGTTTTACTTTACCTGGGGGAGGGATTTCCCAAGCAGTTCTCCTCTTTGCCTAAGCTTGTATTGTCTGGGTCTAAGGACAGGCTACTCCTTACCCTCAGCTATGCAGGAGACATTCAGATTTCAGGGTTGTTTTGTTCCACCACCTGTAAATATGCCAAAGTCAACAGTTGCAGGAATGTGTGTCCTCCTCTCTTGGACACTGCTGGATATACGTGTACATCTGGGAATTTCTGGTGGAATTGCTCAGAATATCCTGTCATCGTTTGTTGAAACCCTTAAAACATGTTGGTTTATATTTCATATTAATACAACAAACTATGTGTCTTATTTTAAAAGTGAAATAAGCCTTCTTTCCTTGTCTTTGACAGGTACTTATGTGTACTTCATTTCAGACACTCAGTTGCAAACTGTTGCAAATTCCTCAAGGTGTTTAAAATGTTCCCTGTCATTTTCATATGCAACTTTCTTCCCTTTCCTATGTGAATTTAATGTAGGATTTAAATGGAGTGCTTTGACTGCACATCAGTTAAAATGTGAAAGCAGTGGTTTCTGTCCAGGTGTCAGCAAAAACAGTGACAACTTTGGTTTATGTTCCCAGAATACATACAGAGAAAATGAATTACAGGTCTCGGTGCACAATACAGTATTTGGATACAATACGATACAGTCCATCATATTTGAAAAATCATGGCAGTCAGGTGAAGTTCCAGATGAGTGGAAAAAGGGTAATGTAACCGCGATGCTCAAAAAGGGGAAAATGGAAGGGCCATGGAACTACAGACCAGTCAGTCTCATCTCTGCATGGCAAAATCTTGGAGCAGATTCTCCTGGAAAACCCATGAAAAACCATGGGGTGCTTGGTGACAGCCAGCATCCCTTCACTAAGGGGAAATCCTGCCTGACCAATTTGGTGGCCTTCTCTTATGGGGCTACAGAACTGATGGATAGAGGCAGAGCAGTTGGTGTTATCTACCTGGACTTATGCAAAGCATTCAACCTGTCCCACACAACATCCATGAGGATGATCAGGGGCTTGAGTACCTCCATATGAAGACAGGCTGAGAAAACTGGGGCTGTTCAGCCTGGAGAAGAGAAGCTGTGTGGAGACCTCAGAGCAGCTTCCAGTGTCTGAAGAGGCCCCACAAGGATGCTGGAGAGGGACTCTTCATCAGGGACTGTAGTGACAGGACAAGGGGTGATGAGTTCAGGCTTAAACAGGAGAAGTTTAGGTTAGATATAAGGAAGAAGCTCTTTACTGTGAGGGTGGTGAGGCATTGGAACAAGTTGCCCAAGAAATTGTGAATCCTCCATCCCTGGCAGCATTCAAGGCCAGGTTGGATGGAGCCTTGGGTGACATGGTTTTAGTGTGTGATGCCCCTGCCCATAGCAGGCAATTGGAAATAGGTGATCTTAAGGTCCTTTCCAACCCTAACTATTCTATGATTCTATACCTGGTACCTTAGTAAGCAGATTGGGTACTGTCTGTTCCTGGTTTAGCTTTTCTCTGCTTCTAGCAAAATAGCTTGCCAGCTGTGTTGCAGATATTCCATCTTACAGCACACTGAAACGATATCAAGTCTTAATGTATTGTATGTTCAAAGTGATGAGTGTTGTCAAGATATTTTCAATATGTGTATAGATGGTTTTTGCAAATTCCCAATGTTTAGTCCTTTGCAGTGAGTCTCTTGACCCATGGTTTTCTGTTACCAGTAAAACAGGACATTTTCGTTTGCGTTACAGGTTTATGGTGAAGAAAAGTCCCAAGCGCTAACAGCTTTGTCACCAATGCAATCTACTTCAAGGTCACCACTTTGCCCATATAAGCAGTCCACAAAAAGTGCCTCTGATAATACCACGGAGAGTCATATGATGCACAAAGCCAAAAATTCTCTAAACCAACAAGGACTACCTGAGCAAGAGGAGCAAAAAGAAAACTGTAAGGTGCAGTAAACTGGTGTGGACTCCATCACAATTCAGAATAACTGATGAACAAACCCCAGTTTGTGAAATAGCAGAACTATACAGAGGGCACCATTTTCTCTTATCCAATGGTGAACAATAGATGGGTCCTTCAGGGCTTGTTCTTGAATATTTACTAACGCCAATAGTCACTCAAACTTATGGAATGACGAAGAAATGGGTATAACTGAACTTCTGTAGAGCTTTTGGTAGGTAATTCTTCATAAATCTGTTAAAAAAATTAAACTCTGGAAAAAGTGGACTACATGTTGCCACACAGTTCATTGTTGCCATGTTTTCTGTGTGCCCAAGGTTGATTTACAAATGGAAACTAAACTCACTGAAGTATCTTTAAAGATATTAGGTTCCAGGACAAATGAGGCAACCAGTATTGGATAATTCAAAATGAAGCAGTGACTTCATTTGTGATTGGAAAACCAAATATAAAATCAGATATAAGACAATTCAGTGCACAATTCCAGTGCACTGGTATCCCTTCTTCCAGGTGGAATAACATCCTGCAAAGGGGGATGAGACCCAGTGTGAACAAACTCGGAGAGGACTGTCTGTTTACCCTGAGACTAAGCACCTACCAATCCATTTCTTTGTATTTCCCAGTAGGTACTGGCTTTGACTGTACCTGAAGGTCTTACAATGTTCATCTTCACCTCTCCAAAATGGCCCTTGACTAGCCAGCAATCCTCAGCAAGATGAAGGGAACACTATGAACCAGAAAGGACACCACAACACACTGTGCCTTGCTCTACCAGTAATGGCTGCCTGCTGATTCTCTGCAGGTCACCCTTTACCTTCACAATTCTTGGCCTCAAATGTGTCACTTCATATGAAAAGCACTGCAGACTTGTTCCTGATGTAATGAGAGTGGATGTGTTGGAGAAATGCTCAGGTGTCAAAAATACCTGCATAAAACACCTTGAGTTAGGCCCTCTCCATTCAAGAAAAATCCTATTTCAGATCCCAAAAGAAGGTAACGCACCTGGAAATGGCATTTAAGATTCTGGTGTCAACAGTTTAAGAAACTAACTCCATCTAGTTCATGATAGTGCGTTTGAATTTAGGATGATTCATTACAAGTAAGCTCACCACAACCAGCTTGTACTTGTGGATTTCAGAGGTCTAATTTGGCTTGCTCAATAGCATAGAGCAATTCTCTGCAAGAGAAAAGGGTGGCATCAACTAAATCAGTCATTATCCAACTGAACAGAAACTACTTTCTAGTCATTAATATTGCTTATGCTTGTCTGCCCAAGCCAGGTATTAGGAAAATCAAACTCCTGTACTTGAGCAGTAGTGCCCTAAGACTCCAAATTGCACATCAGAGAGGCATTTTCACACTATTCTTCTATCAGAAAGATGTTTCTCCTTTCAACAAAAGTGTGTAGTAATGTTTCTGCTTCTTGAAAAAGATTCCTTAGCTTAAAAGTTGACCTTTCAAAGTGTAACAAGTGCTTCTCTAATGCTACAAATATAAAGTTTTACTTGAGTTATTTACATGCAAAGGAGAGTGATTTTCTCTATTTACATACACACTATTATTCTGCCTTGCTTACAGCGTTGCCTCTTAGAATGCAGTTTATGAGAAGAAATAAGCTGCTCAAACTGAAAAACCTTTTGAAGAAATACAGCATTTGTCTCATGTCTAACAGAATATTCCAACCAACAAAAACCTCACATACAAGCTATTCTTCAGCAACTAGATAGAGCTATGGTTGTGATCAGTAGATCTTGTGGCTTTTTCTTAAGCATCTCAAGCTGTTTGTTAACTGAAGCATTAGGTAATTACAACAATCCTTGTGGCACTATGTCCACAGGGCTCTTCCAGGGGAACTGAAAGAGGCCCAACTTAAAGGATGCATTTTGATGGTTTCATCTTCTGTCAGTGTACCAACAAAGCTCCTCATCAAAGTTCAGTTATTTCAGATAAGGTTTTGTATCTTCAAATTATTTAGGGATCATGTGTGGAATTGTAGCAATTCTTTAAAAAGCTGACACTCCTCAGGTAGAAGCATGGGTGTGAAAACACATTAGTAGCAAATAATAGCAAAAAAACCACCCCGAACTGGTGTGATTTATTTGTCCCAGTGATTGTTCTATTTTAATCCTATGCCTTGAAAAGTGTCCCACTTGGAGATAAGTGTGGAAAAAAACATCTATCTTTAGAAAGCTGCCTAATCTTAACCAGACAAATTTAAACAACTATGTTATAAGTAAATATTACTAGAAGAAAGGATTGAGGCTTTAATAGTTACATATTTTCCCACTTGGCCATGTTTGTGCTTTAGAAGCCTTTAGATTTCAGTAAGCATTTGTGTTTTGAAAGATTACAAAGCCTGTTATTTTCCAGTAACTAGTATGTATTGTAGTACTTAGCTTTTGGCATAGGAGCTAATACAGGCTAAGATTTCCAAGAGATCTTAAGTTACTTTGATTAATACCTAAATCATTTGAAAATGGGATTTGATATTCTACATCCTATTGCAAACTGATGAGACCACAGGTCACAATTCATGTAGGGTTCTGAAAGGTGTATCAAACCCTTAATATCCAATCTCTCTGTAAATCAAAATATCTAAGTGTTTCATCAGAATTCCTAGTGAGAGGATTGCATAGGATGTGTTTCCTCAGCGTCAGCTCTCCATAACAAATAAAAGGTCACTTATTATCTGGCTTTGTGATTGTGGAAGTCCATGTGAAGAAGTCTTTTTTTGGTGCGCTGGCATTGTGCTTGGCAAGCTAACCCAGTTGTTCCCATAGTGATGCTGTGTTATGTCACAGGAACATGCATTAGCTGGATCTTCCTTTCTTCATTTTCCTGTTTGCACAAGGTTTGCATGGTAATTGGTGTAAAATCTAGCTGCTTGTCCTGGGCTAATTTCAAATGCTTTCTGCTGTGCCCAAAGTTACAAGTTTAGAAGCGTGTCATGGGAATGCTGGTGTCTGTTTGCCATGCGCCCTTATAGCTGATGGAAGGGTCTGGTTGGTTCATGATTTCCAGCTCTTTCTTCAGGCTTTGAACTATTCTTCTCCTTTTTACCTAGGAATGAAAGGAAAACAAAAGGAGATTTGTTTGGCTGCTGCTCTTCCATGTTTATTATTAAGGAACAATATTTGAATTGATCTCTCCTATGTCAGAATTTAAATGCTGCCGGGTCAGATCCTGTCCTGATTTCTGGAGGTAGCCCCCTCAGCTCCAGAGTTGAGCAGGAGTTCCCCAAGCCTTGAGCACAGGAATAGCACAGCAGTGGCTGGCCTGAGACAGCCCTGTGCTTCCCAGGACATAACTACTGTCTCATCAACTGCCATTAGGGTAGAGTTTGTACAGAATCTGTAAAAACTAATCCTTACTTGGGGAAATGCCATTTATCAAACATGGGCCTGTGCTACTTTTTCAAGCATCAGCTTCCAGAAGATGCTCTGCATTGCACTGCAGTTCCACTCCTGTGCACGGTACTGCCATCACTAATTTTGCTGGCTCACAGCAAGCTCACTCAGAAGAGTCTGCCAGTCCAGTAACAACCAGTGGCAGAGAAGGATGGAGCTGAAAGAAGAAACCCGTTCTCGTCTCTCCAGTTTACTGATCTTGTTGATGTGCCCAATGATTGATGCAAATGTATATACTTTAAAGAGAGGAATCAAAATACCACATGGAGTGGTTATGAATCCAAATCTGGTTAGTCCCAGGCGTGTGTATCAAACAATAATGCTGTATTGCCCTAAAACCTTGACAGAGAAGTGCAACCCACACCTAATGGGGATTTTCTTTGTGCTTGCCGTGGTTTAGGCTCAGTTAGTACTTGGAACCCAGGACAGTACTATACATTGCAAATGAGTTCCTTTTAGACAGGGAAACACAGTTGAATGACATCAACACTCTGTATTGTAGGGAAAGTAGTGTCACTCCACGGCCGAAGTGCCACCCCTCTGTTCCTGCTTCTGAGGTTTCAGGTGTCTAACCCTAAAATGACTCCAACTCCCTCTGCTTTTGCTACTTCATCCTGAATAGCCACAAATTGCAAGAGGCAGAAGTTTTCTGCAGAAAACAGTAGCTGAAAAAAGCTGTTTGAACTTTGTAAAGCTGTTGACAACTGAATACATGGTGAACCAGTATGAAAGCAGATAGAAATGGCAGTGTTCAAAAGCAGTGTTGTGGATTTGCTTAATAGACTAAGTATATCTACAGTTCTAGTGACAGAAGATAGGCATATCTCCTCTGATATACATATCTATATATATCTGTGTGTGCATGTTCTCTGACACACTTTTAGGCACACCCAAGCACTTCTGTCAGTGTAGAGTTCAGAAAATGCATGGAGCTTAGAAAAACATGGTGTAGCTATAAATCAGATCTGTTTAGCAGATTCCAGTGCAGCTGGCTTGAACAATTCAGCTGTTGGAATACTTAGGTGAGTGCACTGATGGGTGCACAGCAACATCAGCAGTTTTCTGTATTTTGCTTTTCTGCTGCTCCATAAACTAAGCAGGTGAAAGCTCAGTGAGAATCTGCTTTCAGTACTGGTGTTTCAGGATTCCTTTATTTATGAGGCCTGCTGAGTTCCTCATGTAATGAAATGCAGCGTAAATGCGTTTGGCATTGTGAAGGAAGATTGACTTGTTCAAGAAGTCTGTGTATCCACATCAGATTACAGATGTGTTTTGGTTTTAGAGGCAAAATGGGGGAGTGGGAAATTATTAACTGTAGTTGGGGACTGCTTTGATTTTGTTCACTGTAGAGAAGGGGAAATGTTCTGTATTCTTTTGACCCCATGCTGAAAAATAACCTGTTTTCAGTACTGTTGTTGATACTTAAAGGTACGTGTGGCTTCGGTCGCTGGCTGGCACTGGGTGATCGAAGATTTTAGTTCTCCTGAGGAGCACAGTTTGGATCTTTTTTAATTAACTTGGATTCAGATCATAGAGGCTGAAAGTACTAAAGGAAATGACCAATACTTCATCCTTTTGTTGTTTTTTTTCTTGTTAATTCCTTGTGAGAAATTACAGAGGAAAAGAATCTGTGTTGTGATTCCAAGATCTCCTACTTGCTTAAGTGCTTCTTTAACTTGGTTAACTTGGTCAGCTTTTACTCCTCTTTTTATTTGTTTCGTGTCTGGCTTCTGATATTATCTTCAAATCAACAACTTTTCTGCTAAACCAGCCTGTTACATGTGGAACTATTGGCTTATAGCAAAGAATCTGAATAATAATCTCCCATTAACTCCACATCCCCTTACACAGTGCTTTTAGTGTGAATGGGAGGGTACCAAATGGTTGGTTTGTTCAGCTGTCTTGATCCCTATTTCTGGTTTCTTTGACACAGCAGGATGCTGCCTGCGTTGTAAGCATCACTTGAATGTGCTGAAATGACATGGGGGAAAATGGAAGGTTATTGAATCAACTCCAGGAAAGAGAATGGTGCTGGAATAGCTGTTTTCCAACCTCTGTCAACTGGTAAAGGGCTGTACCGTACCCTGAGCTATAACAAAGGACAGCAAGCGTTAGTGGAGATTTCTTCTCCACTTGTTTCTTATCCCGTATCTCTTCACAGCAGAGGAAAGTGTGGGATTTTACTGGCATTTTAAAGGCAAGGCTCCCAGTTTCAGCCACCACAGTTGCTATTTCTGCATTGCTGCCTAGGGTACATTGTAAAAACTGAAGTGATTGCTGGCTTGGTGTAGCAGGCAGGAGGATTCCACACATTCATATCGTCCCTGTGGTACGCTGGAGATACTTCTATAAATTCAGTAATGTAGCTATGATTATTCTTCTCCTCACCTCTCAATTAACCAGTACTGCACATATTGTTCCCTGTCAAATAGCTTATTTCGTCAGATGCCAGAGAGCAGTGTTGTTCTCTTTTCAAATTGCCGGTTTGATTTCTGGCAGTACTTGATTGCTTTAAAATGTGCTTTCTGCATCCATTTTCCTCAATACTTAATTAACATGGAGAAAAAGCCTGAAATGAAGTTTCAGTTCAGTAGGTGTTTCACTTTTGTCCCTACTATCTCATTCATTTATTTCTTTTAGCTCACTCTAGTGCAGGGACTTCATTTTTCATTTGCAAGAAATTCTGCAGTCTAGATTATCTCTTTTTATAGCTAAATCCCCCTGGAAAAGGCATCCTGTGCTGGGAGGAGGCACAGAGGCAAGACAGAAGAAGAGGTAGGAAAAGCAATCCAATATCAAACCAAAACTGCAGTGAGTGTACGTAAGCTGGTCATTTATTCAGCCAGCCATGACAAAAGGCTGTGTTCAGAACGCATGTAGATGAGGCCCTTAGTGATTTAGTGGTGGCCTTGGCAGTGCTGGGGTAAAGATCTTGATGATCATAAAGGTCTTTTCCAACTGAGCTGATTCTATGATTCTATGTGCCTCCAACAGTGCTGCAGTAACAGCATGAGAGGGGTTAGTCAGGAGTCGCAGCATGTTACCAGAACAGTCTTGAACTTTGTAGGAAGAGTTTAGTTTTAACATTGCAAAAACAGTTTCCATCTATGCTAAATACAAGCACTGCTTTACAAGACTGCAGCTACTACAGCGCTAGAAATGCTTCAGCAACATCTGTGGTGCTTCTGTGCCTGTAGAAGAATATCTCTAGGCATCTACAGTGCAGGTAACTGCTTGAAAGCACTTGACTCTCCCCTTCATCCCCCTTCCCTCAGTGTGGCCTCTTCTGTTGTAAGCGCCTGTGGGAAGGTAAGAGCCTGCATGCAGTAAGCTACCATGGAGCAGAGCTCCATAAAACATGTTGCATAAGGTAGCAGCAAATTTACCTTTTCTTTGTAAAAATAATGTGGAAGACTGCTACTAAATCATAGCCTGGGCTCTAAAGTTATGCCTACCATGGGCACCCTTTTCTCAGAAGTAAAACACCAGTTTGATGTTCCAGAATTCATTGGAGCAAAAGGGGTTGCTTTTTCTCTATAAAAAGCCCATTTCCCTGTGACACCATGTGTTTGTCTATTTCAGCCTTACAAAGAGCCATAAGCTACATACATCGATGATCCAATACAGTCGTCATGGGAGACGGGAAAATGGTGATGAATATGTGGTCCACAGGTTGGATTCCAGCTGTTAGTAAGCAATTAAACACTTCACCTACCTGAGTGGCAGATGATTGCAGAATGGACCTGACCAGTGTGGCTGACTTGCTCAAGACTGAGGAAATGATTAATATTACATTAAGAATGAATCAAGTGGGAAATGGATTATGGGTTAATCAATTAGGATTACTAGAGCATCCCCAAGGAATTCTGCTTTATTAAGAGATGATAAACATGATGGCCTCTCTTTGACATGTGGGTATCCATGACATAAAATGGAGTCTAGAGCCTGTCACATAGAAAGGGCAAAAGATGGGCAGATTTCAAGAAACCTAGGGGGAAAATCTAGAAACTCCAGTTCAGTTGAAAGGCCATTACAATGGGTATTGAATCCTTTAACAGAAAGGAGTTGTTCTTGTTGAAACATATTAAGGACAATGAATAATGGAGCTGGAAACCAATAATGTCCAGTGCTTTGAAAGAATCACTTTTCTAGCTCAGTGCTATATTAGTTCTGAACACTACACCAGTGCTCAGAACATACATAATCCAAACTCCTTGTGCTAGGGATTTCTGTGTGCATATGCTTTGATAAAATGACAGATGAGATTTGCAATCTGCAGTGTCAGGGGTTTTATTTTTGAGAAGTTTATGGCCTTAACAGACATTAAGAAATGCCCAAGAACAGTGAAAAGAGCAACTTCAAAACCTCTTCCATAGCTCTAAATCGATTCTTGTAATAATTTCTGAACTAATTTAAAAGTCATTAAAAGCTGTCTGCAAGGCTGCTCTTTCTAAATATTATAGGGCAATTTTCTATCTTCTCTGCTCTGTTTTGCTGAGTTGACTGCTAAAGTGAACCTTCACCAAAAGGGAAAAATCCAGTACAGCAGCCAAGACTATGGAAGGCTGAGGACTCTGAGAGCTTGTGGCCGGACCTGCATGGTGCTGAGATTTGATCCTGTGTTCTAACTATGTGTCTGTCACCTTTTCCTCT